TTATTGGTGTTTTAGATTTAAATGTTTGAGATCAGACTTCTTTTATATTCCATTGTCTTCAATATAGTGCATAAATATTGCTATATGTGAAGGCCACAGCTGAACTAGTTTTACTAAGCTACCACATTTAGTTCTTTTAAATTGCTGATGGGCAAAATAAAAATCTAGAAAGAGCTAGGTTCCTCCATCTTTTTCCATTAACATGTTCTGAACCATGGCTGTAAAAAATACTGAATAATGCAGTGGAAAAAAAGCTTGTTTTCAGTTTGCCTACCTCATTTTTGGGTGTCTAGACTGTGGTATCCATAGTATTACTGACATGTCATCAGGACCAATTTTCTGTGTTATGACTTATTCTAAGATTTACTGTTGATTGCTAACAGACAGAATTGATCAATAGGGGGCTAAATAATTGTTCTTAGCCCCAGCATTGTCCTAGCTGATCTGTTCCCAGAGGTACATATCAGATCCTCTTCCCAGATGTACATATCAGATCCTAAAAGCTGTGGTCTCTTATCTAGCTAGAAAGACTGGATGCAACTGCTCTAATTTATTCTGGGTCATATGCTGTTTCTATTCCTATAGTGTCATGGGACATTTATTGCAGTTTAAACCTCCCTAAAAGAAAATTAAATTTTTAAGTCTCATCCCAATTACTTGCTCCCTTGTTAACTGTAAATAGGCATATTAGGCCTGTTAGGAAGCAACAGGGCAGAGCAAAGCTGCTGTTAAAATGCATTGTTAATAAAATGTCAGCTCAGACCTCTATTTTGAAACTTCAGTAAAATTTAATTAAACTTTCTAGGTTCAATGAGCTAATTTTCTCTGCTTACTAATATTAATCTGTTGACTTAATATGCAGTATATTTTAAATAAATAAAAGGAAAAAACACCCCAAAGAAGACCAATAGCATAATATACCTATCTCCTACACTGTAGCTATAACTATTTCACAGCTGGCTGCTTTCTTTCTCTCATGGAATAGTATCTGATTCACAGTTTGGTGTTTTCAAGTCTTGCTGATAGCAAGGCAAGCTGATCTTCTGCTGTGGGCTGTTTCTATTCTGTCACCTATTCCTTGCAAATCATACTAGCTACTTCTTGTCATGCTTGGTTAGTCGTTCCCAATTTGACCCGTTGTTCCTTGCTGCTCTTTGCTTAACTACTGCGTGCTGATCCAGCTGCTCTGACTGTTGCAAGTTTCTCTTATTTCAGCTCTCAGGAGGAATACAAACACTGCCGAGGGCTAACGCAGCCTTTCTACATAACAGCATCCCTATCTCACTTTAAACTTCTTTACTGTAAACTCTAGCAAAACCTTTCTTCTTTTTCTTATCCCATAACTTGGCAGCCGAGTGCTGCAAAATCATGCTTACAATGGTCTCAGAAATACCAAGTAGTGAATTGGCCTACATTTTCCTATTCTCATACAACTTTAAATCTTTTCTCTACTTTGCTATAGACCTCTTTTTCATTAACTACCAAACACGAAATACTACAAATAAAACAATGTGTGTTAGAAAAGGTCACATTCTGTTAGTGACTTTCACTTATCTTGTTTTCTACTTATCAAGTATCCTCAGAGAACTCTTTTATGTGGTACTTTTCTCCATGAAAATCTTACTGTTTTTTAGGACACAACCAACAGGTTTAGATGAGGGCTGTCTCTTCACTCGGCAGTGAAATGATAATACTAGTGTATAGAAAATAATGAACCCTTAATATAATCTTAAAGATCATTATGGACTATCTTAATTTGGAACTTCTTAATCTGGTCTTTTATTTGAATTGTTTATTCCATTCAAAATGCTAAAGATATCTGGTGCAAGCATAGGATGCCACCCACTAATAGTTAAAAAAAAAGATAGAATTGGAGTAAGTGAATTAGTCACTATCCCTAAATTCCTCACAAATCTCTGTTTAATAAGTAGAGGCCAGTATAGCTCAGGCAACATAAATTTGGAGGAGAAAGATAATGACCTTCAAAAATAAGTGTGCTTCCCCAGCAGATAATGTTGCTACCTCTGTCTGGAACAAGTGAGATGACAAACTGGCATTTTGTGATTAGGACGATTTTACTGATGCTCTTTGAGAATACAGAGTCAATAAAGAATAATGCCGGTCCCACATTGTTGAGCTCCATTTCTCTTAGTCTGATTAATATTACTAGGTGTCCATAACAGTCAGCCACACCAATGAATTGCCATGCTTAAATCTTCCTGTAATGATTATTTTATCTCATTTCATCCACTTCAAGGAATCTGCTTGAAACCTTTTACTTGCTCAATTTTTTAGTATTTTGATCAAATATTCTACTTACGTTACTAGTCCAGTATTGGACTCTGGCCTCTACAGAGCAAGAACCAAATACTTATTGTATACTTTCTTATTTTCCGAAGATCTGTCTCAGAACAAATTTTTTAAGCCAATTTGGTTTTGATTCTACTACTAACAAGTGCTATGTCCAGAATGAGAGACTGGCTTGGTGACATAATTTGAAAGACAATTTAGGAATCTTCCGGTCTGAAATGACCCTCCTTGCCCTTAGTATGACCCACTGGCAAAGAAATTAACAGGCCTCTGAAATTTTCCCTAGCTGAGAGTATAGTTCTGTCAGTGCTATAGGCTGCTTTAATTGTGATGGAGTAGTGACCACGCAGCAACTCCATTCCCTTCTGCGGTCCTATTCATATTGTAGACTACATTTCTCCTTTTGCCGTCTACCAGACAAAGCATAAATTCATTGACTTTATTTCATATATTTACAGGTTTATAAGGAGAGAAAAAATTCCTTCATTCATCATAATAGGACACAAAATGATAGAACAATTACTTTGTATAATTCAACAAAATTATTTCTTTGATATTTTGTGAGGGAACCTTAAGCCCTTTAGTTAAAGCTGTTTGAAACAGGCAGCAACATGGAATTAGGTTGAAAATTTCTGTCAGAGGTGTTGATAGAAACTGCCTTATATAAAAATGAAGTATTTGATTTTCTTGC